AGGCTGTACCGGTACTTTATACTGGTGGGGCAGAGGCCGGCCTCAATGCTGCGAGGCCTGGCCATGCCCTGAACCGTCCAGATGGACGGTTCAGCCCCAACCGGTGGGCGGCAGTCTCAAGAGCGCCGCCAGGCCCAAACGATAATGCCGTTTGGGCCTGCCCGTCGGGTACTGGTCCAAGATCAGGCCCTGAGGGCCTGTACTACCCCAAGGTCAGGCCTTTAGGCCCTGATGTGTCCCTCCGGCCCTAAGTCGGGTCCGGTAGGACCCGTGTGCGTCGAAGATGTAACAGTCCCAGTCCAGTCATAATCCCACGAGTCAGTCCTGATTCAGACCAGGAGTCCAAAAGACAGGCCCAATGGCCCAAAGCAGCAGCAGACCATGGGAAAAGATACTGGGACATACACTTTGCAACAACAGGTACTGGGCAGGAGTCCCAAACACTTGAGGTTGAATACAGGCCATGCCAGGCCAGTCCAGCACTATAAAGGACTGGCCAGCCTCCCATTTGGACAGATGCTCATCTCTCATGAAGTGTGGAAGTGCCGTGGCACTTGTGCGCTAGTTGTGTGTGAGCAGCGCTGAGCTGAAGAGCAGCGCTATGTGTGAAAGAAGCAGTGAGCGCTGGCTGGATAGAAGGCAGCCATAGCTGCGCCAGCGCCAGTTAGTACATTAGTAGGGATAGTTGGTAGAAGAGTTCAGTGAGTAGTAATCAAAGTAGATCCTGGTGTGCTAGGGAGTGAGCATGCATGATGAGTGAGAGTAGATCAGGATTGTAGACAGAAGGAGAGAAGAGAGAGATCAAGGAGGAAGAAGTGAGCTATGGTGACACCTACCTGTTGAGCGCTGTTGTTGACATTTGGCAGCTCGTGCTGATGAGCGCCAGGCCTGGGAACTCATGTTGATTGAAGAAGACTTGTAACTCTGTTCGGCACTGTACATTTTTGACTCTTGATATTCTCTCTTTAATCTGGGTTTGATAATTGAGTTAAGCTTCCTGGTTCTCATTCATCTTCTATTGGGCTTTGTGTGAGACATCGCAATCTGTGAAAATCTGTGTGTATGCATGTGATCTGATCCACTCCAGCAAGTGATGAACAGTTGGGTTCCTTGCAACTAGGCCTGACGAGTGTTACCAGTTGGGGCCCAGGTCAATACAAAATTACAGAAATGACCTTATATTATGTTACAGCTCGTTTGAAAATTGCAAGCGTCATTGCACTCACTTCCTGCTTTAGATCCTTCTCCCTCTCCCTCCTCTTCGCACCTAGTGCAAGGAAAATGAGCAATAGCGAATTCCAGAAACCAAGCATTATCATACATATGAAACCAGATAGTCTTGACATCAGTGTTGACATCAGTCTTGACCTACCGAAAGCAGAATTGCAACTCGAGTTCCACCAAATAAGAGCACAGCAAAAGCTCACAAGTGACAATGTTGGAATAGTCTCATCATCATCAACAATGAACCAATGTCAACTCCCTATCTGGCGCTCAGCGCCCAGACTACGAATGGCAGATCCTATCTAGCCTATCTACAATGCTGCTGGTGACGTCAACAGCTTCCCGAAGTGCGAGCAGATCTCGGCCAATGCCGTTCGCGTCAAGCACCGGGTATTTCTCACGCTTCACTCTTGATCCCCCACACAGATGCGACGTGACCCAAGGACCACCATGCGCCCCATCCAGCATCTCGCAGGCCAGCTTGGCTATGGCTGCCTGCTTGTACCCTGCTCGCCCATGAGCGCGTGCGCGCTTGCCTGCAAATAGCGCTGGCGCAGCATGCAGCAAGGCCCCGAATGTTTGGCCAGCGGCCAGGCCCTTTTCTTTATGGAAAGTGGCTGCCAGCCGTGGGCTGCCTGGCTGGCCCGGGCCTCCCTACGGAAGCCTTCGGTAGGACCCAAGTGGCTGAGCCGCTGTCCCAGGGAATCTTCCACAGGGCCTGGGGTGGTTACCCGTGTCCAACTGCCAGCGGCCTGTGTTCAGTTCATGCCCCGTGCCTGGCCCAGGGCCTGCCTCAATACATTTGGAAAAGGCAGGCAGGGCCTGGGCTCACTCAACCAACTGGCGCTGCGCAACTGCCGGCTGCGTCCAACCGTCACTTGTCAGGCCTGCCTTCACTTAGGGTGGCCGTTCTGGCTGAAACAGGGCCCAGTAGGGCTTACCAAGGCCTTGAGCCTCGCACTAGTATCCTGGATGCCCTTGCGGAAGCCTCAGCGGGAGAAGAAAGTAGGTTGGGGGTCCTTGGCTAGTAGGATTGCTCTCTATACATACCTCCACTATAGCCCCCTCATTTCTATTGCATAAGGTTGATATATATGTAATGAACCCAGTCTGGTAGATACTCAGAAGTCGTCAAACATCAGTAGTCTCATTATCTGCATCAAGGTCTCCAAATCGTGAAGTGATATCTCAAACAGTATCTCATTACTATCAAAAGAAGAGAGTGGAGGGGGAACAGACAAAGGAGAAGATGAAAGATCACATTGACTTACCGTGAGGGCACGGGTGCACAGCCCATAGTTTCTTTGTTTATGTGGTTCGGGAAGGGTAAGGTAGTGATTATGCT